CCCCCCCACCCTAAAACCCCTACCATCATTCTATTTTTTCCCCGAAAACACGTCTCTTCCTCTCGATTCGGGCCTTCAAGGTGAGTGGCGCACGCAGGCCAAAATGTGAGACGCGACTGTTCCCATTCTTCTTGTGCGTGTTCACTTTTAGGGTCCGAAGGAGCTTTGCTGGCGCCTGCCCCTCCCTCCTTCCGCCCTCCCTCCCTCCCTCCAGCCAGCACCGTGTCCCGCACTCCCCACTTCCACCACTTCACGTGTCGTGTCTTTTGCTGGTGCGTCGGTGTGGTGTGTGCAGCGGTGGCGGACGAGATAGGCAGAGTGCCCATCGCACACCGTGCTAAGCAAGGCGAACTGTCGCGTGACAACACGTGGCACAAGGTTCGCAGGCAGGCAAGACGAGATGCGCATCTCGCACCGAATCAGACAGCCGCTGGTGCACGCAAGGCCTCGATGGAGGCAGCATGCGCCGGCAACCGCACCGCCCCTGGCCAGCAGGGAGCCGAGTGGGAAAGCAGGATCGCCTCGGGCACGTAAGCGCATCACACGACGCCCGCCGCCACTCACTTGACGTGTCTGATGGATGGATGTGTGCTTGTTGTTGGTGTGTGGTGGATTTGCCTGTGTGTATGGTCAGCGGGGTCGAGCAGCCGACAAGGCGACGTACGAGCGTCGTGCGCACCGAGAGAGGTGGCAGGCGGCGTAACCTCGCCAGCAGAGAAGCCGTACGATTGATGGGCATGTCGGTGCGTCACTGTTCTGGCAAGGCCTCGATGGAGGCAGCTCGTGCGGTGGCCCCGACAGTGCTAGTCGAACGCTAGCACGATGCATGCGGTGCGTCCGGCCACCGGCGGCTCCCGAGAGGGGAGAGGTACGTACGCCACGCAAACACACAACACAACACAACACAACGGCTGGCTGGAGGGATGGACGGAAGGAGGGAGAGGCAGGCAAGAAGACCAAGACAATGAAGACCACAGCTGTGCAGAGAGACGCACGTAGAGAGGGGAGGGTGAAGTGTGTGGGGATGAGTGCTGCTGTTCTGATGGACAATGTGTGGAGGCCTCTGGGCTGGTGTGGTGGTAGTCTGCTGTTTGGCTGCGTGAATGCGTGTTGGACAAGGTGATGCGGTTCACTCCAACATGCGATTTGACACATGGAACACAGAGCGCATGGATGTGTCCACGAGTCGGAAGAACGGTCTTTGTACAAGCCATGCACACACCCTCCCATCCACCGCAGCTGCACGCATCGGTCCTCAGACGACGTCGAAACGGTTCTCATCGCCACGATGCTGCCTGACGCCCACCACATACAGCTGTCAGGATGGGGAGGCAACACCAAACATATGCACTCATCTCTCTCTTCACCGATGCACATGCGCCATAGCTATCAGATTGGGCGAGGGTGATGCATTGCAATAACTCCGAACACACACACAGACTCGCACACAGAGATGTAGCGACAAGAGACGAGAGTGCTTCTCTCTCTCTCTCCCTCCATTCGCCGCATCCCTACAGTGACAAATAGTGCGGGTTGTCGGATAGAATTGCAGATAGGCGGAAGTGGCAAGGCAGCACAAGAGAGAGCACCAGGGTAGCCATGAGTATCAACAGGGCAGCTACGAGGGCCCTTCAGGCAGCAGAAGAGCCCCTGTGCGACCACTCACTCACTCATTCACTCATCCAGAATCTGACTGTCTGTCTGTCCGTCCGTCCGTCCATCCATCCATCCATCGCAGCTGCACGTTTCGGTCGTCGGGCAATGTCGAAGCGATTCTCTGTGCAGACAGATGTCGTTCCGACCTTGTCCAACGACTCCAACGTGTAGCTCTCAGCAGCGCTACATGTCTGAAAGGCTACCGCTGTCTGCCTGTCTGTCTGTCCGTCTGTCCGTGTGTCTGTGTGTATGTGTGTCTGTGTGTCTGTGTGTATGTACATATCTATTCTGTGTGTGTATGTGTATTCCTCTCGGTATCGCTGTGTTGATGCATTCCACCGCTGCAGTAGCTACAGATACTGTCCGTCGTCAGAGCGATGTCTGCGCATCACACACACACACACACACACACGCACACACACGCACACACACGCACACACACACACACACGCACACACACACACAGACACACGGGCATGCAACACCTACCCTTCAAAATCTATCACGCTCTTTCTTCTCACATGTTGGTGTGATCAGTTGGCTTTGAGTTTCTTGAGCAGGATGTTGCTCATGTTGGCCATGTCCTCGAAGGCCTGGGTCACCTCGTCCACCAGCTGCAGCATCTCCTCGCTGCCGCCCCAGGCCACCACCAGCGACTCCCCGTGCCACTCCATGCCCGCCAGCACCGCCTCCTCCTCGGCCGACACACCGCTGCTCGCCTCGAAGCCATGACGGCCACTGGTGGCGTGGAACATGCCACCACGAAGTCTACAAGACATGCATGCATCAACAGATGTGCATACACCGGGCACCATGTCGATGAATGCCCGCTTCTCCTCACCTGAGCACCAGCTGAAGAACCGCCTCGCGGGGGATCTTGTAGTCTTCCAGAATGCGGTCGTCCTTCAGCTGGCTGCCGGCGAACATCAGGCGCTGCTGGTCGGCAGGGGCGCCGGACGTGAGCTGCAGCTTGAGCTTGACGGCAGACACCGACTCGTCCGGATCACAACGCATGGTGAAAGTCCTGCCTGCATGACACAACGAACACACAGATCTCTTGCAATCAGTGACATGGATATCAGAACGCTTCGGCCTCACCAGTGAGTGTCTTGACGAAGATCTGCATCGCTCCACGCTCCTCCGCCAGCTCTTTCTCCATCTCACCCATCTTCTTGGCGGCGGCCTTGGCCTCCTCCTTGAGCTCCTGCAGGTGGCGCTTCTGCTCGTCCAGCGGCTTGGTGGCGAGCACCTTGAGGGCGTCGTGATGGTTGCACTTGCTACTGCCGAAAACAGACTCCTCCGCCGCGTGAATGCCCCCCCACGCCTTGCAGAGTTTGACGAGGCTCAGCTTGGCGCTGCTGTCGAACACGGCAAATGGGCTGGCCATTGTGACCTCACGAGGCTAGCCCGAGCTCGCGTTTCTCGGAGACTGGGGGCCAAATGGGGGCGCCCAGGACTCCGCTCGTTCTCCACCGAGTTGTCACGAATGTCCTTCACTCCCACCAGCAAGCAAACGGCCTTGATTCCCGAATCAGCGGCACCCATCGGCCAGGTATCGGCTCCCGCCTCATTCGCAGTGTCAGCGACATTCGGCCTGCCGGGTGAGGGCGGTGTGAAGCATCTTGGTTCTGTCGAAGGCGAGAAGGACTTCTCAAAGTCCTCCCAGGGAGAGGTGCAGCTGGTAACCGAGTCTGATGGTGAGAGCAGCTTGAAAGCAGAAAGAACACTATGGCGATGGCGTTCGTACGTTTGCTGATGGGCTTCAGCGCTTCTAAGCCACGTGCGTCGTGATTCCAGAGACCGTCGGAAGGGGCCGGACTCGCAGGGTCTCCTCACCAAGAAGCCGTCCACTCCCGACATTGAGGGTTAGCTACACAACCAACACACAAGAACGCACGTACTGAACATCGCCTTCTTCTGCGCAGATGCTCCCCCAAACATCCTTCCAGAAGCTCCGACGGTTTCGGGCGGCCCGACGGCACCCACTCGGCCCAGCACTGCGCCGGCGGACGGCTCTGCCTTCCCCCATCAATCTGAGGGCGAGAGGGGTGAACAGGAAACTTCAAGGCGATGGTCTGCGTTTGGACGAGGGAGATCGCCAAAGGTGGCATACACAAGGCTTTCATCTGTGAGTAACGAACGGCTCGTGACGCTATGTTGGATGCAGGCGTCGGGCAAGAGGGCTCGTATAGGTTTCCCGTGTTGCCGTCGGCTTCCAAAGGAAGATCCTGAGGTAAGCAATCACGACGACGACGCCAAGACGCACACTGTCTTCCTTTCAGTTGAGCGACGATCCAGAAGCCCACCACAGCCCCAAGCAGCAGCTGCTGACAGAGGAAGCCGCATACCATCCCATCACAACCTGCCCCATTGTACCGGCAGTCGGCACCATGCTGGCCAAACAGCGCTCGCACAGCCCCCATGCGTCTAGCAGCATGCTGGGAGACATACAAATCATACGCTGGGGACGGCAGGCCAGCCATCGCACCGTAGCAGGCTATCCGAGAATCACTTTCAGGCGGCCGTCGCCGGACAGCTCACAACGGAATCTGAGGGGCGCGGCGTCTGCTGTGCCGGGGGGGCTGAGAACGGACTTCAGACAGCACCACGCCAAGTGAGAAAGGCAGCATGGAAATTGTGCTTGATGTCACATCTGTGTGCGTATGCGATGTGTGTCTCTGGTTACAGGCCCAAGATGACCTTCCGGGAGCTGGAGAGTCTATTTGAGTTGGCCGCGGCACAAGGTCTCCAGCCGGCCGGCAACAATGAGCCAGAGAACGTGTCGGTCCACTCGCACAACACATCCTTCGAAGACTACAACTGGTCGTCACCGCCCCACTCACACTCGGGGAACACCATCAAGCAGCAAAACTCCCCTCCCATTGCCACCACAAACGAGCACCCCCCCTCACCCGCCAAGCCGACACGAGGGAGAGAGCTGCCGCCGTTGATGCGCCACCAGCGCAACTCGAGCATTAGCATTGCGAGTGAGGCCGGGCGCTCCCCTGTGCGTAGCGTCATCGCTCCCGAAGAGAGCGCCTTCACGCCCCATTCGCCGGAGAGCCCTCTGCAGGTGGCTGCCCGTCTCAGGACAAGTCACTCATCGCCGTCGATGATTCGGCTGCAGCAGCAGTCGGCCACGGTCAGCGATGAGGGGTCATCCCCTCCGAACAGCCAGTATGTGCGGCTGTCCGTGGCTTTGTCCCCCGTGGGCGACGAAAAGCAGCAGGCACAGCTGTGTCTGAGTGTGCCCCTCAACGCGCTCAACTCGAGCAGGCCGAGCATTGACAGCTCGAGCAAGGACAGGATGGAGTTGGGCGCAGGGGACACACCATCCAGTGCATGAAGAGAAGGACCATAAGGCTCTTTGCGTATGTGCGATGCATGTCTGTCTGCGTCCCTGGTGATGTTTTTTTCAAGTGCATCGGACAGCTGACCGCACATGCATTCTGTACATTATTTTTGTCACTATCCGTGTGGGAGGGAGGCTGTGTGTGCGGGCCCGGAGGCAGCTGCCGGGCTAGCAGAGACACCACATGACAGACGACGGACAGTGACGGACACGCAAACGTACATCACTGTGTGTACATGTACATGTGCGTGTATGGGGATCGATCGTGTTTTGTACACAGACAAATTGACACAGACAAACGATCGCGATCGAGCACACTCTTCACTCGCTTCTCCATCCACTGATTCTTGTTTGCGAGTCTCACTCTTCTCTCCTTTTTTCGCCAAGCAAGCAAAGCAAGTGATCAGTCAGTCATGATGGTGACGCGTCTCTGTCTGCTTTGCCTCGCTCTCATCCTGTCTCCGCTTTGGTGTGAGGGAGCTGCACTCCGCTCGAACACTGAGCCACAGCAGCAGAAGCAAGGCAAGCAGACGCACATCGAAGAGAGAGACATGTTCATGATGATGCTTGCTTGTGCCTCTGTGTCTCTGTCTGTCAGTTGCTTCTTCGCCGGTGCCGTCGGTGTCTGGTGCTGAGTCTGATCGTCTTGTCCGTCTGCGTGAGGCGGCAGCTCGTTTGGAGGAAGAGGGACGCCCATCGGCCACCACCTCGAGATCTCTGTGTCCGTCGAGTGTGTCATCGTTGGACAACGCGGGTGCTTTGCGCGAGGCCATCGCCGTGCAGGAGGCGCTGGACGGCCTCACACAGGCCGCCGCCAAGACACAGCGGCAGGCCGTCAGCGATTACCTCGCCATCGCCCAGTCGTACGAGGCCGCCGGCACCGACGCACCCGCCGCGCACACATTCCGCAACAAGGCCGCCGCGGCACAGCGAAAGGCCAACGCATACGACAGCGGCGATGTGCCCGAGGTGGCGCTGGCAAGGGCATTCCAGCTGGCCAGACAGGCCGACGACATGGCCGCGGCCGGCGACCTGCAAGCCGCCATCGACGAAGACCTCCACGCCAAGTCTGTGTGTCATGACACAGATGAACAGAGAGAGAGAGGGACAGTCATTGTCCATGTGCCTGGATGGCTGTCGTGTCATTGTGTGTCAGGTATCATCTGAACCACGCCGCCCTGCTCTACGTGAAGGAGCGAAGCGCCACCGACGCCGCCGCCGTCTTCAAAGGTCACACACACACACATACACACACACACACACGCAGAGCTGTCGATATCTCTCTCTCTCTCTCTCTGTGTGTGTGTGTGTGTGTCTCCTTTCCATCCACAGAGGCGTCGTCATTGTGTGACGTGTTGGCGTCGCGCTTCGCGGCCGTCGACGACCCCGACAGCGCCCACACACAGACATCAGGCACACAACACAACACAAGAGACAGACACACTGGCCACCTCCCTCCACCCTCTCTCTGTGTGTGTGTGTTCACACAAACACATACAAACAGATGCGGCGACGTACAGTGAGATGTCGGCGCGTCTGCTCGAGGCCGCCCCGGTGCTCTCGTCGGCGGCGGTCGGCCCCACACTCGCCCTCGACGCCATTTCCCTGTCCATCAAGGCCACACACGCCTCTCACCTTGGCGACCACGTCACGGCCGCCGCCTACCACCGACAGGCCGCCTCGCTCGTCCAGTCGGCCGTCGACTCGCTCGTCGCGCAAGGCAAACCCAGAAAGGCCGGAGAGATACAAGTGAGCAGTGAGACAGACAGGCAGACAGACAGACAGACAGGGAGGGAGGGAGGGAGGGAGGGAGGCACCACAACACGACACAAGGCACCGACATCCATGTGTGTCGGTCAGCACGAGGTGGCTCGTGACTTGTTGCGGGCGTCGAGTGAGATGGAGAGTGCGGGTCTGCTGGCGTCGAGTCGGCTGCTGCGGTCGGCCTCGATCAGCGCCCACGAGCTGGGCAAAGCCATGGAGAGCGGCGAGCTGTTCGGTGCCGACGAGATCCGCGAGCAGCAGGCGGCGCTGGTCAGTCTGGTGGCCAAGTCGGTGCAGGTGGTCGCCGACGAGAAGGCCATGCACGACCAACTCAAACAGCTGCAGGCACACACATCGACACACACACAGACGGGATGGGCACACACTCATGAATCAGTGGTGTGTGTGTGTTTGTCTGATCAGGCTCGTGTGTCTGGCGAGCGTGTGGGTGTGGCGGCCGACACAGACGTGATCCAACAGGAGACGGCCGTCAACAAACAAAAGGAACTCCTCAACGTACGCCACTCCATATACTTCTGCAGCCAATCCCTCTGTGTGTGTGTGTGTGTGTGTGTGCAGTGATTGGATACGTCGATTGATCAGCGCGAGTTGGCGGCGGCCGAGGGCACCAGGGAGAGTGCAAAGCTGGAGGGTCAGCTCAAGCTGCGCAAGGAGGCCGTCGAGACAGAGAGGGAGGTGGCAGCCGTCAGGGCGGAACTCGCCGAGAAGAGACACCAAATCAACAAAGAGATGAAACAAATCGCCAAGGAAATCGACGCACTCAACGTAAGCCCACACACACACACACACACCCCTGATGTGTGTCTATGAGTGTAAATCAATGTCAATCCCTTCCTCTCTCCATGGATCTATGGATCAGAGTGCGCCTGCTCGCCTGTCGGCCGACCACCTGTAAGCCACCCACCCACCCACACACCTGACATGAGCCCTAACATGCACTCGTGTGTGTGGTGTGATGATGTCCTGTCGGTCAGTGTGTCTCGTGTGGGTGAGCTGCGTGGGCGTCTTCGCGAGCTCGACACTCGCATTGGCAACGTGATAGCCGAGGAGGACCTGTTGGTGACTCACGCCAACACACACCCAGCCGCCCCCCAGTCGGCCCCCACTCACCGCTTCACCCAGCTGATCCCTCCCGAGGCCTCGCGCCGCCCCAGCAAGTCGGCCCGCCCGCATCTCTCGACACGCAGATCGCAGCGCTCGAGGGTGACGTCGACAAGATGGCCAGCCGAGTCGACGGTCAGTCAGCCAGAGACGCAGGCAGAGAGACAGAGAGGGAGAGGGATGTCTGTGCTGTGTGTGTCTACAGGTTTGGCTGTGAGTGTGGCGTCGTTGGAGAGTGCGGCTCACGACAAGCGAAGGGCGACCGTCGAGCGGGACATTGCCCACAAGAAGCGACTCGCCAAACTCGCCATCAAAGCCGAACGGGCCGCACAGGAAGGTATCACAATCCCATCACACAGACAGACAGACAGACAGACATATGTTAGGCCACACCGCTGGTATATAATATGTGTGTATGTGTCGATGTCTGTTTGTGTGTGTGTGAGGTGGGTCGTTGGCGGACGAGTTGATTGCCGAGGAGGGCAGTGCAGAGGAGGCCGAGGAAGGGGAGCTCGCCGACAAGGCGGCCGCCCACAAGCAGACCACCGACCTCATCAACGAAGGCAAACACGCCATCCGGCAGCAACAGGGTAAGTGGGTCAGGGAGGGAGGGAACCAGCCTGCACCACACTGACCGACTGACGTGAGATGGTATGGATGTCTCTCTCTGTGTGTGCGTGTGTGTCGATAAGGTGTGGCGGCTGAGCATTCGAGTGAGAGTGAGGCTCTCGGCAAACAGGCAGCAATGGCGGCGAAAGTGCCGTGCTGACTGATGGACTTATCGATGATCGACAGCAGACAGACAGACAGACATCTCTTCACTCTGGTGGTGGTGGTTATGGGTTGAGAGACTGAGTGTCTGCATGTGATGTCAAGACGTACACTCTCCCTGACAACCGAAGACGCACACACACACACACAGAGCATGTGCAGAATGGCAATGTGGAGGTGAACAGAGGAGCCCTCTGCTGTGTTTGCTGGTGTGTTGAGTGCGAGCGCGCTGAACTTTGAAGCTTAAGTGGCGGGCAAGGTGCGCATTGCATAGCCAGATGGACCGGTCAGTACGTGTGTGATGTGACGCCGACCAATGCGCCATAGTCATTGAGAGGGAAACGATGCAGCGCGCGTATCATTCGGCCAAGATTCTTGTAAACGGAATCGGTTTTTCAAGGAGATCACCTCGCTCTTTCTTCAGGATTCTTTCCTCACCATGCCGCCGCCGCCCCTTTGCCGTTTGTGCCAATCCACCGACACGAAGGCCAGCAACGTTGTGGGGATGGCTGAGGACAAGAAGGCCGATCAGGAGATCTGCCGGCCCAAGTGCTGCGACGCGACCTATCACGTCGAGTGCATCGGCAAGAAGCTCAAGCAGCCACAGAGCGGCGGGCAGATCACCTGTTCAAAGTGCAAGGTGTGCGGGAAGGGGGGGGGAACAAGCGTGCCACCCCCTTCCCGCACCTGTTCGCTATGCAAGGCCGCGATTGAGCTGACGGATCTGATACCCGTCAAGGTGATGCAGACCGCGGGGCTGCTCCATCGGCAGGTTCTGAAGCATCTCAACTTGAAGACGCCCCCCACACCCACCGACACCTCGGGTCTCACCACACCCAACCTGCCATTGACGCACGTATTGACGCGCCGCACCACCAGCAGCAGCACCACCATCACCATCTGCAGCGTTGCGGTCAGTCCTCCCGAGGGCGGTGGAGAGGCGAAAGGAGGAGTTGGCGAGGTGGGCCTTGACGTCGCTGCAGCCACGGCCAAGGCCTATACCGACGTGCTCGCTGCAGCGGCACCCCCCCATGTAACGACTCCACGGCATCCACCAAAGAGAGGGCTTTGGTTGTCGGTTGGGCAACATGTGTGTTCTGTCGCGTTGTGTCTCAGGGGAAGGTGCTATCAACCTCCACCACCACCACCGCCAAGCGTCCCATCACCAACCTACCCTCATTCAAGACGAAACGTCCTCCCATTCCACCCCCTCCGCGTGGTGGGTGGCGTGGGCCCGCTCGTGCGAGTGGCGGGAGGGGCAGGGGGTTGGGAGTGGGGATGGTTGGTGTCGGAGTCGTTGGGGACGCCCCGTCTCTCCTGCCGTCGCCTACCTACCAGGTACGCCACACAGACGACACACGGGGCCGTTGGTGGTGGGTGCACACATCTTTTGGCTTGTATTGTTTTGTATGTCAGCTGTCTGTTCATTCCGCTGGCGCCGGCTCGAGTGTAAGTGGGGGTCCGGTGCTGTGTGCATCCAACCAGACCGACATCACACCGGGAGACGCCAAGACCAACGGCACACAGCAGACACAGACCGACACACTCCCGAGCACACCATTCAACGACGCAGCCGCCCCTCCCATTCCCGCAGCCAACCACCACAAAACGACCAGCAGCATCGGCAGAAAGAAGGGCAAACCACGGAAGGCACACAGGGGGGGCCAGGGGCGAAGGCAGATCTTCCCACCACACGGCGGAGCGAAGACACTCGAGCAAGGGCAGGAGGGACGGGTTGTGGGTAGCAACATCAGCGCCAAGGGGAAGGGAAATCTAGCCAAGGGACTGACGGCCGTGTGGCGTCAGACGCCGCCGGGGACGCAGCCAGGGGAGACACCCCAGGCCAAGAAACCTGACTACGCGGCCCTGTTGCACGCAGGCGGCGAGACACCGGTTGGCATAGGGGGAGAGGCCCAGCGCAACATCGCCGCCAGCACACCATTCCCAGTACGTGAGAGCAGTGAGACACACATAACCACACACAATCTGACATGTGCGGCGGATGAATGGCGCTTGTTGTGTTGCGCTTGTGTGCAGGTTGTGCTGCAGGGTGGTGGAATTCCGGAGGAGATGCCACCTCCCTGCCTATGCACAGAGGCGTGGGTGTCCCAGCTGACTGACGAGTGACGGACATTCCACAGCCTTCTTGATACCTACCATAGATGTAGATCAGTGCCACGAGTGAATGGACGGTCTGTGCGTCAAGGCAACTCCTCCATGTCAACAGTGAGTGCATAGATGGGTCTTCATGTGTCACGCACACCCCACCCATTCACTTGTAGCTCCTGGCTGGTCAACAATAACAAATGGTCACACTCCCCGACAACCTGACACCCCGCGGGACACACACACACACACGTGCACAGCTAGAATTATGATGCAATCAAATGAGCCATTAGGTGTCTGTCGTCCGCCGGGTTTTTGGGTGGTGGTGGCGATGGACGCGCCCTGACGAGCACTATCATGCAATTGAACGTAGGGATAATGGGTGGGCCGTAGCTAGTACCACGCTGGCGAGCAGCGGGACACAAACCAATGATGCATTGACTGAAATAGACAAGCAAGGAGACACGAAGCAGACACGTACCTTCCCAGGCAGCCGACGAAGGAGCGGTGAGTGAATGAATGCAGCGATGGCCAGATGAGAGAGAGATTCTGTGTTTGTTGTGGTCACCTAACGCATTGGCAACAGTGACAGAGAGCGATAATTATGATCGATGTATTGATGGTCGTCTCAAGGTCCCAGGTTCGCATTCCACAGACAGACGAGATCCAGCAGCACATGGAGATGACACTAGCTATCAGCCACCTATCTCACGAATCACATAAGAGCATCACTCATGCAGCAGATGGACGGCACTTCCAGTCCAGGCACACCCACAGTCCCCACACACGCACTGCGATCGATCACGTCAGGCAGCGAGGGCCATGGAGGGATGCCCTCTCTTAAGTATGCCACGCACTTAGGCACTGAACAGATAGACACACACGAGGCGCAGGTGTGATAGGCACGTACACGTACGACAAGACACATACAGCAACCACAGACAGCCATTCAGACAGTCAGTACGACACACACAGGGGAGGGCGGGGCGGACACGCGTGCCGCAACCGCTCTTCTCTTGGATGGGCCGGGCCAGCTCAGCTGTCTCTACAACAACGGTACTGTACGAACGTCCAAGCCACACAACACACCCATAAATCACACGAGGTGCCTAACTGCACGGAATACACATGGGTGGGCTGATCGATCTCGTGGCCAGATTGCCTCGCCAGCCACCCACAACACCACACGACACAACACGCACCGGCGGAAAGAAAAGGCCGCCGTCGATACGTACGAAGATTAAACACCCGCACGATAGATATGACAACCAAATGAACAGACAGACAGACACGTACAAACAATCCCGGCCGGCTGGAGCACCAGCCGGTCAGCCACATGAACAAACAACGATCCACCATCGTCTACTTCTACTCGTGATAGATCCAGAAGGCCAAATGTTCGGCATTGGAATGCGCTCCTCCGTTGCATCCTCACACCGGGAACCGCAGGGACGGAGATGCACTGCCCCTTGTTGTAGGTCGCCACCTCAAACACGATGTCCATCTTCATATTCTGCCTCACACGCTCCATCATCTGGCCAGGGTTCTTGACGAGGTCCTCGATGAAGTCGTCAGTGATGTAGTCGATGAGCCCGTCGGCCCTCTCGCCCATGTTGCGAGAGATGGTCTCGATCTGCTGCTGCACCTGCTGCACCATCCAGGCGATCGTGAAGGCCCCCATGCCGCCCAACACGTCCTTGACGACGGCGTCCACTCCACCAAGGTAGTCGTCGTACTCAACCACATCACCTACACCACCACACAGTCACACAAACACACACACACCTCATGTGGTGACATGAGCCGTCTGTCTGGTGTGCCCCTCCCTCCCTCCCTCCCTCCCTCACTCCAGAAGACTTCGCCGCATGGAAAGCTTCCAACATCAGCACTGCATCGCGGCTCGTATCTCCCATTGACGTCCGCCTTGACCTCCGCCCGATTCGTGCACTCCCGCACAAAGTCGTCGAATTTAGTGACGTCCACCAGCTCGTCGCGAACTTCTGCAAGGCGGTCTTGCGCTCTTGAGCGGACGTCGTTGGCAGCATTAGCAGCATCCCGCGCCCCGTCGACAACGTTCTCTGCTGCTTCCCCCACAGGCCGCGTGGCGTCCCGCGCAGCGTCGACCACGTCATTGACGGAAGGGGGACCAGGCACAGAGAACGAAGGCGCAGGGACCGAAGGCATAGAGACGCCTCCGAACTGCAGCCTCCGGAACGGGTTGATTCGGTCAACGGCGTCCCGCACTGCCTGCGGCGCCTCCTGGACCTCTTGCTGCGGCTCGCGTATCTCAGCGACTTCTTGTCTTGCTCGTTCAGCAGCATCCCGGACCCCCTGGGCGGCGTCGTTGACGATGTCGCTCACCGATCTGTCGATGTTGGGGATGCTGGGGGGAGGGATGCTAGGTAGGGATGCCAAATTGCAGCTTGCGAGGTTCCCGCCCAGAGCGGGTGCCTGAGTGAGAAATGAGAGCCACACACACAAATCAATCATCAGGACAGGTGTACTGTACAGCAGGCCTCCCTCAGCTGCTGTCAGTCACTTACCGATGACACCGCAGAGGTCGCGAGAGCGAGGGCCAACAGGACCAGCTTCGACATGACGGCGGCTGTGTGATCTAGTCCTCTTTGGGGCTGAGCTGCAACCACACGAACGAAGGGAGATGGACGGGCCGAGCAGAAGAAGATGCAAACACGGCATGTGGACAGCGGACTCCGAGATGGATGGATGGCTCGTTGGAGATTGAAGTGAGGAAGGAACGATGGAGGGTGGAGAAGAATGCAGCAGCGAGACCGCTGGGCGACAGACATGGCGCCTCTCTCTCTAGCGGCTTGGCTCGCGCCCGTGAAACACGGCTCCGATTGCCGAAAGCATCATGGGAAACTGCAGCAGCCCTCAGCTCGAGCCAGGAGACCTCAGTGGCGCCCAGGCCGCTAGCCAGAAGCTGGGCGTCAACTGGTTCACGGAGTGGGAGGAGGCCAAGAAGGCATACAAGAAGAAGGCGCTGGTAAGTCCGGATGTGCAATGAGGGCGGGCGTGAGAGCTGGTGGCTGGCTGAATGTGCTGGCTGTGTGTGCAGTCCGGCGACTACAAGCACCCTGATGAGGGAGGGGACGGCAGCGCGTTCGTAGCGTTGAAGGAGGCCCGCGACCTGCTCGAGAGGGTGCACAAGTGGGAGGAGAGGGCCAAGGGATGCTTAGGACGCACACACCCGGTACGGATGGCGATGTGAGCGGGAATGCATGCGCAAGTGAAAGATCTGTGTGTGTGTCTTCTCTCCCTGGGTGTCCATCTGGCTTGCAGCTGGCCAAGGAGCGCAAGGCCCGTCGTGCCACGTGCCAGGAGCAGCTCGAGAAGCTGAAGGCTCAGGAGGCCGCAGTTGAGAAGACGCGGCAGGAGCTCCGGGAGCGGGAGGAGCGGGCGGAGAAGACGCGGCAGGAGATCCGGGAGTTCGAGAGGGCGCAGGAGGAGGGGGCCCAGAAGATGGCCGAGAAGATGGCGTTGTTGCAGGCGGAGCTCAAGGTGGGAGGCATGGCTGTCAACGTCGCCATCGACGCCTTCATAGAGGCCACCCTTACCAGCAGCGGCGACACCACCCCCACGACCCCCCAGCACACTCCCCAGGAGCCCTCCCAGCACACCAGCAACAACCAACAGCCAGGCACCCGCGCCGCAGGCCAGGGAGGTCGTCATCGAGGGGGAGGAGGCGGGCGGAGGCCAGGAGAGCAAGATGCGCCCCTGGTAGGTCAGACCAGTGTTTTGCATTCTTCGGCAAGATACTCAAGATGTGCGCATACATGACAAGATGCAACCATCGATGGCGTCTGGCT